AAAAAAAAAAAAAAAAAGATACTGAAGTTCTGATTCGTATCTAGTTATGTGTCGATTAATTTGGTCCACTTGTGTTAAATACTTTCGATCTCAAATCTGAGAGAAATTGGATTATTGCAAAGAGATTAGGAAAGGAATTGAAGGAGAAAAAAATACTACGATGACAAGGGAATTAAAAAATATATACAAAAAACGAAAACTGAAGACCAAGCCATTTTTGTTTCTTTCTTTTTCTTTTCTTTTTCCTTTTCCATTTTCAAGTTAATCTTGTATTTTCTCTTGTCATGATCTATTGTGTTTGTGTACAGGGTAGCAGCCGCTCGGCTTCAGAATCGTCACCAACTAGAGAAGCTTGTCCGCTTGAAGGTGTTATTGAGGAAATGCAATCAAGGATTAGACGTCTCGAGAGATTGCACGCAATTAACACCGTATTCTCTCTAAACCCTTTCACTTGAATTCGTCTGCACCCGTTTATTTATTTTTTATGTTTTTATTTTTGGGTTGCTTTGAAAGCAGACCATTGATTTTCTGGAAAAAGCAGTTTCTTAATCAAATTCATGTTCTGCTGTAGGTACTCTGGACATTTTTAATGTCTGCATTTCTTGGCTATTCACTATACCATAGGAAGCACCGATGACTTGCATTTACATTGAGCTCGATTTTTTACTTGGGAGTTCAGAATCTGTAACTATTCGAGAATTTACTGTTACCAAGTGCTTCAAAAATCGTCGTTGACCAAAGTTTAGAATCGATTCTGCTAACCAACGCAAGTGTTCCGAGTAGATTTTGCGTGTTGATGGTATATACAAAGATTTGATATCAACAGTTGAAGGAAAACATGAAATCACCTTATGGATGAATACCAATTTGTAAATACTGATCAATTTTTAATACTGCTACTGGAATGATATCAATTATTGAATGTCACCAAATGATCAGGGCTCATACATTTTCAAATCTCATAATATTTGCTTAATATTCCACAATGACCCTGGATATCAAAATATGAAGGGTCTAAAAATAAATTTCTTCGACAAATAGTGTTTAGGCAATCAGCAATCTCAAAATTGCAAATCAGGCTCCATAACTCCATTGCAGAATCACTTCGTCAGAGGAAGAAAACTTCCGGTTCTGGCGTAGTACACAGCCATCGCGAATAAGATGATCAAAATAGCAGTCCAAAAGCTCGATTCTGCAAATTAAATGAAATGAATTGAAAATATTAATAACATACTATTAATTAGTAAAATCATTACGATAATGTATAACTTGACCACCCCATAGCAACCTAGTAAGATACCTACATCTACATAATTACCAACTCAACTTCTGCAAAATATGCAAGTTTAGAAATTCATACCATCGTTTTTCTTCTCCCTGATCAATGTCACCCTAGCACTCGAATCTAGTGACGCAGATACCAAGGCTCTGTTCGGAAGTAAATAATATCAATTATAGTTAAGCACAAGATAGCTACTTTAATGGATATGTAAAAGATAATATCGACCTCGAGTCTGATGAGAATGCGAATGTTGTCACGAGGCCGACATGTGCTTTCTTGACAACACTATGTATCCGCATGCTAGCAGAACGTAATAGCAGAATATCTCCCTGTATTGTTCCTCTGCAATATTTTCAATTGGGGGTGTGGTGAAATTAGTTAAGGTGACATGACTAACGTAAAAACATATCTTGTTTGTACATCATATTCTTACACTGCTAGGAGCTTCCCATCAGGCGACACGTTAAACGCAGATACTGGATCTCGAGAAACATTGGCTGACCTTATCCTTTCCCATGAACTAGTGATCCACTTGATGATCCTCCCACCTTTATCTCTGGATATAGAACAAATGGTAGGTACAGTCACCAGTAACATTTCTTTAAACAGAAAAGAAAAAAAAAGATAGTATAGTTGGAAAATACTAACCCCCCATTGCTGTTATATACAGAACCTGATCCGTGTTGCTTATCCGTGAGAACCGGCAAAAACTGAAAATCTCATCCTGGAGCAGTTAGGAGAAAAAAATTTGTACATTTTGCTTTGGTAGAGAAGCTACAAATGTTGATGTTGAGATATTCCATATCCTTGCAGGGCCCGCTTCCCACAGAGACGAGAAATTTCCCATCAGGACTGCACGAGACGAACAAAGAAAATAAAATGGAAACGTTATTGTTCTGAAACGATCTTGATTCCTAGCATAACATTGTAATTGTGGTTGTAGTAAACTGTATTAGACTTTTTGGTGAACCTGAAATCTAAATCTTTCACAGAAGCATGGACATTGGCTTCGTCGAGGGTATTTTCCACGGAAGGCCACTTAAAAACCCGTAACTTTCCATCCTGTGCTGCATGAACATGAGATAATAAAACAAAACATAGCAAACAGGAGACTCGGTTGTATAGAGGATTTTAACTTCTGTGAACGGTAACCATGCAGGGATCTAGACCACATATTCAATCATGTTTGTTAACCACTCCAAAAGAAACATAGCAAGAAAAAACAAAAAGAAAAGGCAATGTATGGATGTGCTCCCAATGCAAGATTTCCAGTCTCTATATTACTTGTAAATTTAGAGTCATGTTAGTTTGAAATTTTCGAAGACGAAAAAAAGAGAAGTTGGGAAATCGCCATTCTAGAGTTTTCATTTTTTTCTCCTTTCATAAAAGAGGATCAGCTGAAAGCTATAATTCTGGATTCTCAGCCATATTCTCCTCTTTTCATTTGAGATTTGCACATACGCGTCCTCTCTAAATTAATGCCTAGTTTCATACTTAGCTCCGAAAAGTTAACCAGTAACTAAAAAAACATTAAATAAGAGAAAATGCAAAACATATAAGTTGTACAACTTTTTAGAGCAAAGCCAAAGCTGTCATGACAATTACGACCGTGATTAATCAATATAATTAGTACACAGCTAAAGTGTACTTTATAATGAACTGTATGGCATGACGTTGATATATAACTCTTTTACCTCACCACCAACGGCAAGAGAACTTCCGTCACTGTTGAAGGTCATAGCTAATTGTTGTCCAACATCTTTCAATTGCTCCAGGGTTCTGTGTGATGATTCCAGATTCAAAGTATGCTCATCTTTGCTAGAGGTTGTATCCCATTCATACCATCTGTATGGTAATGAAAAGTTAAAACTCAATGCCAGAGATACGGTATTATCTCGAGTTCATGACAAAGAATCAAGTAAACAATGAAGTGAAATGACTGCATCAAACTATGGAAAGCACCGAACGTAGAATTTTGGCTACTTACTTTTGGGTGAATTCTTAGCTCATGATCTGTTCCATGATAGAATTGTAATACCCAACAAATTACATAAACCGATGAAAATTTATTAACGATCAATGGAAAGGTAAACAATTTGCGAAGCATCCCTCATCAACAAGAAAAAAACTATAACAACAGCACAAACATGAAATCTAGTTAGAACTTATTACGGCCATATATACTAAGGTCCTAAGCCGAGAAGCATACCATTAAACATCTGTTACCAACAAGGGCTGAACTTACTTGCAACTTTTAAAGGTAGCATTTACGTCTTGACATACGTCATATCATTGTAAGTTTCAGAGACAAGTTCATTAGCATTCTTCAACATCTCAAAATTAACTAAAAATGTAGAAGTCTATTAGCAAGATGGGCTATTTTTCAGTAGTTTAAGTCACATTTCATTTAACAAAAGGGAGCAATAGCAACTTCTCAGAACACATTGTCGATATCTTTAACAAAGGTGATACTATAAGTTAACATTTTTCCAATTACAGGTACAATGTAAGCATATTCCGACTATTTTAACAAGTAGTAAATAATTTTTAGGTTGCTAGCAGTTCATATTTACCCAAAAACTGTTATTCCTTACGGGAGTAAATGCTGAAAAATCCCATCTTGGACAATAGAAAATACATCTGAGGTTCACTTAATGCTTTAGTGAAAATGTCAGCCAATTGAAACTTGGTGTCGATTTGAACAGACTTCATTATTCCGGCGATATTCTTTTCCCTAACAAAATGACGGTCTAGTTCAACATGTTTTATCCTTTCATGAAGCAAAGGGTTCTCGGTCAAATGAATGGTTGCTTGATTATCACAAAAGATTAATGCACTTTTGTCATGTAAACAAGTCTTTTGAGTAAAGACTTTAGCCAAATCACTTCACAACTCACATGTCCAAGTGCCCTGGCTTCAGCAGAAGATCTTGACACAATACTTTGTTACTTAGATTTACAACTCACGAGTCTACAATGAATACACAAAAACCAACGATGGACCTTCTAGTTTCAGGAAAAGTGGCCCAATCAGAGTCACTATAAGCTTTGGATTGAACATAAGAACGAGCTTCCTGTAAATGTTACATACTGGCATGAACTAACTTCGTATGCTAACAGCATAAATAATGTCCAGCCTGGTGACGCTGAGATAAATTAATTTTCCAACCACCCTTCTATATACGTTTATATAAGTCAAACAAACCCAGTGAGCTGCGAGCCACCCCTGAATGGTGGCAAGTGCATGTATATATCTTCAACTAAGTCCCCATTTAGGAAAGCATTACGGACATCCAATTGTCCTAAGTGTCACGTATGGCCGCCAAAGCCAGAAAAACTCCCACAGTGGTAAGTTTGGCAACTGGGCTAAATGTTTCTTGATAATCAAAACCATGTTTTTGAGTAAATTCTTTGACCACTAATCTAGCTTTATGTTTGTCAATAATTCCGCTGTGGCCTTCTCCGCCACCTCCGGCGAGAACGACGTGGCGACTGATTGAAGCGGGACCTTTTGGTTCAGCTGACTGATCTTCTTTGACGGCGGCGGTGGCAGTTGGGTGGGACCCACGCGGCGCCGTAGAGAGGGACGCCGTGCTTCTTGCAGCCCAATCCTTGGTCGTTTTCGTCGCCGTTGCCCATCATCTTCTTCTTTCTTCTTCGGTCCCCGGTGGCTTTTTGCTTCTGATCTGGCTGAACTGAAAACAAAAATGGCCAAAAAAAAATAATAATAATCGTGGTCGGCAGGATTCGAACCTGCGCGGGCAGAGCCCACATGATTTCTAGTCATGCCCGATAACCACTCCGGCACGACCACAATTTCTGACACTGAGACCCATTAAAAAATGGTTTTTAGTACATATTTCCTTTATTTTCTCCTGTGGACAATTTATTCCTTATCGCTAGATGCTCATCACTCATCATCTCATTTAAGGATAAACAAAAAGCTCTCAATTTGTACGGTTAATGAATTCGCCTCCATCGTCCACAAAAAAAAGGATATTTTTTTGATATTTTTTTTGGTACAGGACCTTCCGATTTCCGGATCCACAGGGGAACCGACTAATCCGGAATCGAGCCGGGTAGGACCACAAGGGCGGCAAAGCTCTCCCTTGAGAGTTTTAACACTGCTGCATTCCCATGGCTCGAACTCGAGACCACTGGTTAAGCTGGAAGAGACCCAAGCCATCTAATCCAAGCGGTCTTGGGTGATATTTTTTCTCTATTTAATTGTTGTATATTACACACCAAAGAAAGATAAACATTTAGGATAAAAGAAATATGTTTTGGGACAGAACCCACAAATTCATACTTACTAAATTGTTAAAATCTGAAGTAATATTAATTTTTTTTAAAAAAAATAAAAAATAAAAAAATTCCTCCATTTGCGTTGCCCATGACCCGAAATTACATTACACCTCTCTAGAACTCCTCTTAAACCCTAAACCCTTTAACAAGAAAAGCCTAGAACTTTCTAGCT